GATTTTTCTTATTTGTCAATCTATCGCAAAGAACTGATTCTCATAAATGTTATACGGGGGAAATAATCCCCTGCGAAATGACAAAAGGCAGCCACCCGCATCCGCAATAACTCTCTAATCCTTGAAACAGTACCTCCTCGCCGCACAGAGCCCTCACCTTAGGATGTAAGGCCGTTCTCAGTGCTGCGAGGATAGAAGAGACTACTAGAAAAATGACAGTGGTTGTTGCCTCGTCACGCAAGCCAGTACAGCAAGGGAGTCAAAGGCCATAAGACTGGAAAAGACAGTATCCTATCCCATTGAACAGGTGACAAGGGAATCATTGGATAAAAAGGAACTGGGCAGAAACCACCAAAAAAAAAGAAAAACAACTAGTCCTGTATAGGAGAAGACACAGAGAATAGACAGATCGAGAGGAAGGTGGAGGACCAACACGCAGAAGGGTGGAGTCCACTTCCAAAGAAGACAAAACAGAGGATTAAGAGTAAAGCTACGCTATCTTACATGCTATTGTGCACTTAAGAGGAAAGGTCATTAAGAGTTGGTTTGCCCTCCTTCCAGGTCCAGATCTGGTTGGGGGTATCCCATAGAAAAGTGAAGTTTGCCTGTGACAAAGATTTAAAGTCCGAGAGGAGCTTGCAGGTTAAAGCCTCACGGATTTTGATACGAAAGAGGCGGTGGGTGGTGTGTTTGTGGTCAAACACCTTCCTACACCTGGCCAACCACATCTCGTGCTTAGCCATATGGATTAGGAGACTAATCACATAGGGAGATGTCTTTGCTGAAAAGGATGTGAAGAACAACGTTCTCACGTAACAGAAAGGGCAGACCAAGGAGGGGAGTAATCCAACCCCAAATCTTCCTTGCAACCCTACAGAAGTAAAAGAGATGTGCTGCCGTTTCAGGCGAAGAATTGCACATTGGACAGTTTTCACTCGCAACGTAAACTCCGATAGACCGGAGTTTAATCCTGGTGGAGAGTGCATTGTGCAACAACCTCCACTGAAGTTCAACGCAGTGTTCGGGAATAAGCCCATCAAAACATCTGCGCCAAACAGTGGCCTAGTCGTTTGTGGCCTGAGTGTTTAAAGGACAGGAGGATAGCGAGATATCGGGCCTAAGGTGGCGATAGATTTCGCAAGCCTTAGGGTTAACAGAGGGAATGTTCCCAGATTGGGAGAGACTGAGTAGGTGTGTGCACCATACTTTCACAAAGGGTGGTGGATCCAGTACCTTGGGCATATGGTTTACCTTGTAATCAGGTAAAAATAACTTAAGGCGATACCCAAGAAAGAAGCTGTACAGCTTACCGGGTGATCGCGGGCACTAAGGGCAAGGTCCAGCTGCCTAATTTGGGCAGCAGCAGAGAAGAGGGTGGGTTCAAACATAGCCCAGCCACCGTTTGCTCTACCCTATTAACCCATTCGGGTTTATTGCCCCAGACAAAACGAAAAAGGAGACGATTGATATGCCTAAGCCTGAGTCCAGGCCGAAAACAGAGGCATAGTAGACAAATACTAAACATGATGTTTTTGTAAACAGCTATCTACTTGGACCAAATGGAAATTTTATCTCCAATTTTAACTTTAATCTAACTTTATGTTATGTTTGGCCGAGTCAGCACCAAAGTATAAACCTAAAATCTTAACCCTACAGCTCACAGGGATGTCAGAGAAAGACACAGGAAGAGAGATGGAACCAACAAGAGGTAGAAAGGAAGATTTCTCCTTGTTAAAGACAGCTCCAGAGGCCTGACAGTACCTGTCAAAATGGCCAAAAATTCTGGAGATAGCCAAGTTGTCCTTCACAAAGAAAGTGACGTCATCCGCATGGGCCACGAACTTATAGTAGTCCGATTTGTAGTAGCCAGGCATAGGGTACCTTGAGATACTGAAGTCCCTTTGTATCTCGACCAAGAGGGTGTTGATACATAGGGAAAAAAGAAACATGGATAGAGGACATCCCTGTCTGACACCCTTTCCAAGTGGGAAGGGGCCGGAGAGATAGCCTTTAGGTCCATTTCGGGGGAAGGAAGCGGATGAAGACAGTAGTAATGTCTGAATCTAAGGGGACAGGGAAAACCCTGACATCCTTTACCACGAAATCCGTGGTAACAAGTAGGCGGCGACTGTTGGTCGACCGAAACCCGACGAAGTAACGGTCTTTGCCCATGGGCGCAAACTGGAAAACCTCCCCTGGCGCTAGGGTGCGCTTGATGCCGTCCAGAATCTCGTCAACAGTCGAGTCTTCTGGAACGGTAACATGGGCGCTGCCATTTATCCTGCCATTAAGGACTGCAGGTTTGGCATATTTGTGTTGTGCAGAAACACCAGCATTAAGCTGCTTGGTGTTGAAGAACTTGTTAGTGTGAGCAGACACAGAGGCTGCAGGAGCCCAACATGCTGCCACTTTAGCGAAGCTAGACTTCTGGGACTCTGAGGGCCCAGAAGTAGACGAAGAAACAGGAATGGCGGGAGCAGTCCCACTAACTATATTACTAAAGCTGGCCTTAGGGGCCGATACCGCTGCCTTACTGGCAGTAGTCACCTGTCTAGCCAGACCAGGCTGAGCGGAAGAAGCCTTTGTAGACTTCATACCGACCAGCCTGACCCCCTTGAAAGTGGGCTGCGCCATGGCACTAATCAGGGCACATCCCTGATACAGGCCCAGGGGCAGGTTGACTAGACTTAACACTAGACTTGCTTGAGCTAGCTACATTAGACTGACTAGAAGAGAAAGCTGAACAAGCCTCGACTACCATCCTAGAAGAAACAGGACCCTGGTAGGAGTAGCGTCCTCCATCGGGACACTATCCGCCCAAGCGGCTGAAGAAATACCCTCCATGGGTAAGAAGGAAAAAGTAAGGAAGTCCCTACTGTAAAGGTGGGGCCAACTGTGGGGATATTGGCCCGGATTTCCCCACGAATACGCTAGACTGCTCAGGCAGGTTCCTCCAGTACAAAAAGAAAACTTGTCTGGTTTTGGTTAAAGGCCAGTCACTAAAGGGACCTGGACTTCCTCTTTTAGTAAGGAAACCTTACCTAAAAGCGCCCGTTTGGTTAAAATGAACCAAAAAGGCTACCCGAAAAGGAAGGTGAGGAGCTGCTAATTCATTTTATGATATATAGTGGTGCTTCGTATAACGTACGCCTCGAATAACGGATGCTGCGAACAACGGACTTTCCATTCGGCAGTTACGTGAGGCGAACACCATTTCTGCGAACAAGTTGCGAATAATGTTTCCATTCTTTTGCCGTTGCCAATGACAATCTGCTATTTTTATAATATATTAGTATTATTAGAATACTGTATATTATTAGCATATCTGAAGTACAGAGCTTCTGTTGGGATTTGGCTTGCTTCCTTGTTTATTATGTACATCATCTCACTGCAGGGTATTTACATTTATTCAGATGTTGTGCAAATCATGGCTTCTAAATAAACAGAAAGGTGATTTTAATTGAAACAAAGCAAGAAATCATCAGGAGTGAAAGTTGACAAAAACTTCCTTGTCAAATGGGAAGAGGTTCAGGAGTTTACCAACACTCATTATCCAAACAGAGCTGAGGCCAACAGGATCAATGATTTCTACAATGACACCCTTGCCCGTCATTCCCGACAGGTGTTGAAGAAGAGAGTGAAACAGACCACCTTGGGCATATTTTTCAAGAAGCCAACTGCCAAAAAAACAAAGGATGGTACAAGAGGAGTTGACCCTACAAGCTCCGTAGCCTCTCCTGAATCTGACTCCGATTTAAAAAACAATAAAAAGAAACCTGCTGCAATGTGTAAAGTCTGTATCTGTATGAATGTGTAAAGAAAGTGTTCTTTCACCTCCTCCTCACAACATCTGACTACAAGGCATAATTGGTGACTGCTCCATTTTCATTTTCTTTTATGCTACTGTACAGTTATTTTATGCTTCGGAACGAATTGTGTTTTAACATGTATATCTATGGGAAAATGCGTTTCGTATAACGGACTTTTCACTTAACGGATGTGCAACTGGAACTGATTAAGCATGTTTTACTAGGCACCTCTGTATAATATTATTAATCTATAACCTTTTTATCTAACACATTAAGTTTATTACTGATCGCTCATCGCCACATATGATTTTGTTTAAGAGAACTAATCGTGCATTCATTAATTCTTTACAGTAGATCCCCCTATAACACGGCAGATACGTTCTGTGTTATGTGATTTCCGTGTCATACGAGTCACTTAAATACATGAGCTAATCACAGCCCGACATGTGTGCAGTTTAGGGACTACAGCTGTTTGAAAGATTTTCTTCCATAAAATTTATTGATTCTAGACTAATTTGACTCAACATTTCNGCGCCATGGCACTAATCAGGGCACATCCCTGATACAGGCCCAGGGGCAGGTTGACTAGACTTAACACTAGACTTGCTTGAGCTAGCTACATTAGACTGACTAGAAGAGAAAGCTGAACAAGCCTCGACTACCATCCTAGAAGAAACAGGACCCTGGTAGGAGTAGCGTCCTCCATCGGGACACTTTTATGGCCGTTGAATAAGAAATGTATAAAAATTTATCAATGCATATTTTATACGTTTTCTTTTACGAACTTATCGTTTTGGCAAATGAGCGGCTCTTATACGATTTACTTATGCATAAACATATACTTTATACGAGCAGTTTTATTCAAACTTACTAAAGATCCAGAGGAAATTCTAGCCCTTATTTTGTTTTCAGTTTTTTTATTGATCGAATTGTTGACTCGTCTAATTTTAAATCTTTAGCAATGACTATTACTTTCTCACCAGATTTTAACTGATCCAAAATTTTAATTTTCTTCAAGGGACATTTTCCGCTCTTAGAATTCTTCTCCATGGCAGAAGTCATGATGACTAAAGACAAAATTTTAGATAACATAAAAATTATAAAATTACAGTACTGTATTAGACTTACAGTACCTAATTTATATACTGTACAGACGATAGTAAACTCAACTTACCCGCCTAAACTCTCCATAGCGTGTGAGTAGTTGGCCAAACTTATAATGGGCTTACTAAAAGAGGCCATTCTTAGTGCCCACAGGGCAGAAACAGTTAGAAAAAACCCCCATCCTTACCTAACGCAACTTACTAAGTCTCTTAAGTTCAAAAAAATGAGTCACCTGGCCCACAAATAACTCTATGACAAGAGATAAAATTGAGACCAATTGGAAATACATCTTTAAAAATTTCAGATATATTTTTTCCTAATGTTAACTCTAAGAATTTCATTAGCAAAAGTGCATAGTTGCAAAATAATTTATATTTATGTTTGGGCTACAAATAATTCAAATCGGCTAATTTTAAAGCACAACTTTGGTACTTTTTAACCTTCAGATCTGACAACATGTTCCTCAGTCCGTGTCACTTTCAACATGCCTTTGGACATGATCGAACGTATTATTTCAAAGACTCCCGTCGTGGATCCCGAAGAAATTTTTGAAAACTTGACGTGCTTTAATTTTGCACGCTACTTTCCCACCGAAGAGGCCGCGGACAAATTTTGCCACATGGTGGGACTCGTGCCCCATCTAGATCTAGCCGGCTTTGTACCGTCGTGCCCAAAGTGCGGAGGTAAGATTTCCTCCTGTACACAAGTGCCGTACGCAGGTATCTGTTAGCTAATTCAATTTGTCGTATTTTTCAGGCATGATGAGAAAAGAGCCGGCACCAGCAGATAGGTTCGGATTCGTCTACCGCTGTGAAAAACTACAACAAAAGAAAAAAATGCGCAGGCGGACTGGTGGCTCTGTCTGGCAGGCTGTTTGCACCGGTACCCTCTCTTGTACTCATAACACATTTTTTTCAGAGTTCAGCTCTCAGCTCAACAGGTATAATATCGTGGCAGTAAGACATATTTATATATATTATATTTCTCATATTTCTTCTCTTTCTTTGTTCCTTTGTCTTTTGCCATTCTGGAATTTTCCTGTTTAACCCTACCCTTGAGAGTTGATAACTCACATCTAAGACAATAGAAACTAAGTNACTTTCCATTCGGCAGTTACGTGAGGCGAACACCATTTCTGCGAACAAGTTGCGAATAATGTTTCCATTCTTTTGCCGTTGCCAATGACAATCTGCTATTTTTATAATATATTAGTATTATTAGAATACTGTATATTATTAGCATATCTGAAGTACAGAGCTTCTGTTGGGATTTGGCTTGCTTCCTTGTTTATTATGTACATCATCTCACTGCAGGGTATTTACATTTATTCAGATGTTGTGCAAATCATGGCTTCTAAATAAACAGAAAGGTGATTTTAATTGAAACAAAGCAAGAAATCATCAGGAGTGAAAGTTGACAAAAACTTCCTTGTCAAATGGGAAGAGGTTCAGGAGTTTACCAACACTCATTATCCAAACAGAGCTGAGGCCAACAGGATCAATGATTTCTACAATGACACCCTTGCCCGTCATTCCCGACAGGTGTTGAAGAAGAGAGTGAAACAGACCACCTTGGGCATATTTTTCAAGAAGCCAACTGCCAAAAAAACAAAGGATGGTACAAGAGGAGTTGACCCTACAAGCTCCGTAGCCTCTCCTGAATCTGACTCCGATTTAAAAAACAATAAAAAGAAACCTGCTGCAATGTGTAAAGTCTGTATCTGTATGAATGTGTAAAGAAAGTGTTCTTTCACCTCCTCCTCACAACATCTGACTACAAGGCATAATTGGTGACTGCTCCATTTTCATTTTCTTTTATGCTACTGTACAGTTATTTTATGCTTCGGAACGAATTGTGTTTTAACATGTATATCTATGGGAAAATGCGTTTCGTATAACGGACTTTTCACTTAACGGATGTGCAACTGGAACTGATTAAGCATGTTTTACTAGGCACCTCTGTATAATATTATTAATCTATAACCTTTTTATCTAACACATTAAGTTTATTACTGATCGCTCATCGCCACATATGATTTTGTTTAAGAGAACTAATCGTGCATTCATTAATTCTTTACAGTAGATCCCCCTATAACACGGCAGATACGTTCTGTGTTATGTGATTTCCGTGTCATACGAGTCACTTAAATACATGAGCTAATCACAGCCCGACATGTGTGCAGTTTAGGGACTACAGCTGTTTGAAAGATTTTCTTCCATAAAATTTATTGATTCTAGACTAATTTGACTCAACATTTCCACAACACGTATAATTTTTCGGGAATAATCCATATAAACTATGCTATAAACAAAAAATTGTAGGATTACTTACCGAGTGTGCACCGTTCGAGGACGCCATTGTTTAAGCTTGTTTTCGTCGCGGAGCGGCGCATCAAGCGGCGGGCACATGTTTTCTGATAAGTTGTTTTTCTGCAAAAAATTTGCTGAACTTTGGAGACATCATTAATAAAAATAATTTTTATGGCCGTTGAATAAGAAATGTATAAAAATTTATCAATGTTTTCTTTTACGAACTTATCGTTTTGGCAAATGAGCGGCTCTTATACGATTTACTTATGCATAAACATATACTTTATACGAGCAGTTTTATTCAAACTTACTAAAGATCCAGAGGAAATTCTAGCCCTTATTTTGTTTTCAGTTTTTTTATTGATCGAATTGTTGACTCGTCTAATTTTAAATCTTTAGCAATGACTATTACTTTCTCACCAGATTTTAACTGATCCAAAATTTTAATTTTCTTCAAGGGACATTTTCCGCTCTTAGAATTCTTCTCCATGGCAGAAGTCATGATGACTAAAGACAAAATTTTAGATAACATAAAAATTATAAAATTACAGTACTGTATTAGACTTACAGTACCTAATTTATATACTGTACAGACGATAGTAAACTCAACTTACCCGCCTAAACTCTCCATAGCGTGTGAGTAGTTGGCCAAACTTATAATGGGCTTACTAAAAGAGGCCATTCTTAGTGCCCACAGGGCAGAAACAGTTAGAAAAAACCCCCATCCTTACCTAACGCAACTTACTAAGTCTCTTAAGTTCAAAAAAGAGTCACCTGGCCCACAAATAACTCTATGACAAGAGATAAAATTGAGACCAATTGGAAATACATCTTTAAAAATTTCAGATATATTTTTTCCTAATGTTAACTCTAAGAATTTCATTAGCAAAAGTGCATAGTTGCAAAATAATTTATATTTATGTTTGGGCTACAAATAATTCAAATCGGCTAATTTTAAAGCACAACTTTGGTACTTTTTAACCTTCAGATCTGACAACATGTTCCTCAGTCCGTGTCACTTTCAACATGCCTTTGGACATGATCGAACGTATTATTTCAAAGACTCCCGTCGTGGATCCCGAAGAAATTTTTGAAAACTTGACGTGCTTTAATTTTGCACGCTACTTTCCCACCGAAGAGGCCGCGGACAAATTTTGCCACATGGTGGGACTCGTGCCCCATCTAGATCTAGCCGGCTTTGTACCGTCGTGCCCAAAGTGCGGAGGTAAGATTTCCTCCTGTACACAAGTGCCGTACGCAGGTATCTGTTAGCTAATTCAATTTGTCGTATTTTTCAGGCATGATGAGAAAAGAGCCGGCACCAGCAGATAGGTTCGGATTCGTCTACCGCTGTGAAAAACTACAACAAAAGAAAAAAATGCGCAGGCGGACTGGTGGCTCTGTCTGGCAGGCTGTTTGCACCGGTACCCTCTCTTGTACTCATAACACATTTTTTTCAGAGTTCAGCTCTCAGCTCAACAGGTATAATATCGTGGCAGTATGCCATATTTATATATATTATATTTCTCATATTTCTTCTCTTTCTTTGTTCCTTTGTCTTTTGCCATTCTGGAATTTTCCTGTTTAACCCTACCCTTGAGAGTTGATAACTCACATCTAAGACAATAGAAACTAAGTAGCCCTAAGGAGTTAACAGGGTGAGGGAAGGACACCCTCAGAATCGGCGGTTTCACGTTACGTGTTTCTATAATTCGATCGTACCGCTTAAGATGATGTATGTTTTATCAGATAATTTTTTTATTTTTGTATTTAACAGGTGCTGATGATTATTTATGAGTGGGTCAAGGAGGAGCCGGTCACCGTCGCTGCGAAAGAATGCTGCGTGGACCTGCAAACAGCCGTGGACTGGTACAACTTCTGCCGGGAAATTGCGGAGGTTATCATGTCTAACGACCAAAAACAGATTGGCGGTAAAAATCTATGCGTCGAGGTGACGATCGATCCAAGTTTCTAACTTCGCTGATATGTCTATGTCTATGCCCTCTATATCTATATACGTGTGTTTTTATTTTCAGATTGATGAAACTTTTACCAGGAGACGAAAGTACAACCGTGGGCGCATAACCAAAGGCACCGAACCAACTATATTTGGTGCCTATTGTCGGGAAACGCGAGAGATGATGTACTTTCATGTAAGTAGTAACGAAACATTATTTCCTATTACTGTATTATTTACTTTTAGTGTTTTGTGTTATATTTTCTAGTATTCTTTCAGGTGGAGAACAAAAGCAGACGTGTTCTATGGAGCCACATGTCCAGATACATCACTCCAGGTTCCATAATCGTTTCCGACAGCGCGCTTCAATATTGCACTGTCGGATGGGCTTCTCGGAACACAAGACCGTTAATCACAGCCAGCAGGGCCCCGGGAGGTAAATACGATGAAACGAAACTGCTATGTGTTAAGTGAAAGAAATGAACGAGTGTTTTTGAAAAGGGTATGAAAAGTGACATTTTTCTTTTTTTCTCTGTGCAGATTCGTCAACAGCGATGATCCCGAGGCTCATACTCAAAACATCGAGTGTAGACATCGCTGCTGAAGAAGTCCATCAAGTCGCTTCGCACGAACAGGAGCCTGCAGAGCTACACACGCACTTACGTATACAGGACGCGGTTCCTGTCCCAGTTGCCAACAATATCGACAAAATTCCGGCAGTTCGTCGAACATATTGTGGCCGTCTACCCGGGCCCCGTCGTGAGGGTCTCTAACTGAAGACGATCGGTGTGCCTGTGGACGAAGATCAGCCGCCAGACAAGCCCTATTTTGATGTGTACCTGCCCGACGAAGAGGAACCGCAAGGAGATGACGACCCCCCCGTGAGTAGTGCAGCTTTTGTGTAGTGGGCGTGACCAAAGGATAGTTCCTTGCAGATGTGCAGGATTATGTGATTTTTCAGACTTCGGATACCTCGGACGCAACGAGCACCTTTGTCGTCGACCCGAAGGACCAAGCGGAGGCAGGGACCAGCGACCTCAGCTAACCAGCAAAGCCTAGATGTCGCCAAATAGCGAGAGGACAGGGCCTCCTCTTACGGGAAACGCAGGAGGCGCTGTGAAGGTATCTGTTTTTTTTTTTTTTTTTTTTTTTGCTTTTTACATCGGCAGTTAAGCTTAGTTCACACTAAGCTCGATTCGCTGGCGAAGGCGAAAATCATAGCGAATAACACTTCAGACATAACGTCGTTTCCAGTGAATTTCGAGAATCGCTTCGAAGTTCGAAACTGATCCCNTTTTTTTTTTTTTTTGCTTTTTACATCGGCAGTTAAGCTTAGTTCACACTAAGCTCGATTCGCTGGCGAAGGCGAAAATCATAGCGAATAACACTTCAGACATAACCTTGTTTCCAGTGAATTTCGAGAATCGCTTCGAAGTTCGAAACTGATCCCCGAAAGGGGAAATGATGATTTTTCCTAATGAAAAAAAAATTGTCGAGCTGGTCAACAACGAAATATCGGAAGCAGCCATTTTGTTTTTCGAGATGACGTTTTCGCTCGCTTGCAAATGATTGGCTGCTTAAAATTCGCAATCGCTTTTCGTTTTTGGTTGTATGGGTCAATTTCGCTAAGTGAATAAAAATCGCTTTTCGCATTGGCTTTCGATATTCGCTCAGTGTAAACTAACCTTTAAGCGGGAAATGGTTAGAGAGTTTAGAAGCGGTTGCGGTTTCTATCGCTCGCGTGATGAGACGCAATACTTCTGTTTCGGTGGGCGTAACGAATTCATAAAAATTCGAATTGTCGGGGTTAACTAACTTAAAAAATTTTTTCTCTTATTTATATAATATGTCGTATAACGTCAAACGTTAAATTACTTAGCCTTTCTAACGGAAAAAAAAATAAAAATACGTAGAGGAGAAGATGGTACAGTAGAACCTCGAAAACTCGGCCTAATGTGGACCGAAGGGTGGCCGAGTTTGTGAAAATGCAGGGTTATCGGGAATGGGGTTAAAAAAATAAGTATGAGTGTTTCCTCAGAAAATACTGTACTGTACTTGTATGTATTGTTTACTTGAGAATATAACAGAGAATAAACTGCCCAAATACCCTTAAACAAAGGAAAAGTACGTCCTTTATGAAGGCATAGAGCCTTTACTACATGAAAATGAAAATTAATGAATACACTGTGTACAGTAATTTACCTGATAAGACAGACCTCAGAAAAATACTTTATGAGAGCTTTTATACTTTTATAAAGCTGTCTATAATGAAAATTAATTAACTAAGGATATTTTTGCCCTGCCAGGGTGTGGCCGAGTTATCCGGAGTGCTGGGTTATCTAGAGCCGAGTTTTCGAGGTTCTACTGTATTATGGAACTACCCCATTTCGAACTGATAATAAAGTTAATTTTGTAATTATTTAACATTTTTTGTACTTTCCTATTTGTTTTTGGCTAGATTAAAGCATTTTTTGAAAATATACAGTAAGGTTCCATATTACCACCCGATTTTCTCTAAGCCTACTTTCTGACTTTTGTACAAAAGCCTCCAAAAACCATACTTATAGTTACACTAACGAAAAATCCAATTAGGAACATTTAGTTTAATAGTTATAGGTAATAGTTGATATTTACTGAATGGGCCCGTTTTTTCTAATTTTGCTCTCTTTAGACACCTCTCTAATAGACGTGTCCTAAACAATTAGAATTATTTGGGGGAGACGCGTATATTAAGAGCTATAAGCGAAAACGCATCGGATTACTTACCGACTGTGCACGGTGGAGGCCGCCATTGCTTAACCTTGTTCACATCGCGGAGTAGCACGTTGGACGGCGGACGCTTACAATTCGTGTCACGTGACCTCGGTTAACGTCATCCAGTCACGTGAGCGGTGACGACGGAGCCAGGTGGTCACGTGACTACAGCTCTGACGTATTTCCGGACAACTATACCTTGAGTCACGTGATAGAGTACAGTGCGTTCGTTAATAGCGATCGTTCGTAGACATTGCGAACAACGGACAGAGAAAAAAAAGATGGCGACGTCCGTAATATCGACAGTAGCATGATGGGGGATCTATAATTTTAAAATATGCGTTTTTAGAGACAAAATATTAAAAAAGCCGTCCAATAGCATTTTAAAATATGCGTTTTTAGAGAGAAAATATTAAAAAAGCCTTCCAATAGCATTTTAGTAGTTACGAAAAAAACTCGAGATGACACTTACCAATTACACGGGTATATATATATAATATCCATATATTGACTTGCACTTTCACAACTTGTAATTTTTCATTCATAAAACCACATAATTGACACTAGAACGGAACTATCCGAGCCCACGTTCAAATAAGTCCTAAAAACAATTAACTATTAAAATTTATTTCAGCGGATATCGAAGCCTTAAAACTTTTGTGGAAAGTTACTGTAAAAAGAGAGCTAATTTCTAGGATAGCAAGTATTATTTCGGCAACCGCTTTTTGGGCCAAATCTCAGAACGGAAACCAAAGTAATAAACTAATACATAATTTAAACGTTTAATTGGGGCAGTAGCAGAAAAGAAATTTAGCAATTTTTGATATATCTTAGGGATCTTTCGAATATATAACCACAATTGTCATGTAAGCCTAATGTCTGGCCGAGACAAAGCAATTTTGTCTTTTGCTTGGACAGTTCGGTTTTTCCGGAGGGGGAGTTTCACACTGGGATCCAGGAAGTATTACACACCATTACACCAAATGCATTTTAGATCGGGATTCTTGCTGAGCCCTTTTAAATCTATAAACAACAATAGCATACATGATAACATGATAACAATAATTTTGTTCTGCAACTATGCATTTGGTTAGAATTTTTAAGATAAAGAATGCTTTTCTAAAAAATATATAGGCTAATAAAACGTTTGTAGATCTGCAGCACAAAATTTTTACTAAGCCAACGTTTTTGTTAAATTTAAACATTAAGAATCTGAGTAGATGGGAAACTATTGGAGTGTGTTTTAATAAATATTAATAAAATTTAGTTAATAATTACGTTAAAAGTATACAAACACTATATTCAATTTGTAATATTTACTAAAACTGTTAATCAGGGTTAATAGCAATCAAATGTCATACTATTTCATATTAGTTTAACATAAAAAAGCAAATTTTTAGTAAAGGGTGGCGGAGGAAGATAACAATATTACGTTCAGAATAAATTCTAGAATTTTCGAAAATGGGAGAAGACTTAAACGTTAATATTCAAAATATTACAGCGTAGAATTTAAGAAGAAAATGAACAACTACAAAATAAAAACGGTTTAAGTTTTATTTACGTTTTTCTGTATTATTTTTAAATTCTATTCTTCTACGAGATTAAAATTCCGTAACCCCCTCTCCTCTTCGGATGTCCAACAAAACTCAACCTTCCTCAATACCTTTATCACTTTATGACTAATAAAATGCATAAACTGTATAAAATTTAATGAAATAAAACGGACGTCCATTGAAGTTCAACCCCTCCCTCCCTCCCAGTGTGGACGTCATTTATAGATAGCTTCAAAGTTTTGTAACGATTCAAACCTGGCTAACACGTGAGTTTACTATATTTACATTCCTACAGTTATGACGAGAAACGTTTAAAATTTATACCTTGTCACGTCCTTTGAGGTATACTAGTGATGCGACAAAAGAGACATTTTAGAATACACGCAGTTTTAGTTTTTATATTATTATTTTAAATTAGTTTTATCTGTATATATATTAAAAGCAAAATGTCCCGTCATCCCACACACAAATATATATTTAAAAATTAATTTTATTTATAATTTGAAAGTTTAAACGGTTTTTAAATCGTTTAAAAGCATGAGATTCGCTGAAACATTCCGGAAAGAAGCACACATGGTCGGATATTTGGCTGAATTTCTTTTTAAAACCAGATATCCGAAAACAACCCAGAGAATGTATCATTTTCTCCATGTTGTTTGCGAGTCTTTATTAACCCTCCCCACGATTACTAAGTAGTTTGTAGGCCGGTTTTGAAAGGAAGGCTTCTTGTGTAATTTTGAATTGTGTTGCGCGAATAATATTGCTCCCACTAAAATATAAATTTTCGTCTATAGTTTCGTATCTTCTATTATAAGGACTTATTATACTGGACTATTATAATAAGTCCTGATAATAAAAGATACGAAATTATAGACGAAAATTTATATTTTAGTAAGAAAAAGGACATTGAGGCATTTTAATTAAACAATATTGCTCCCAGTTTGCTCAAGTTTCCGTAACCTAAAATGTATAAACTGTATAAAATTTAATGAAATAAAACGGATGTCCACTAATGCTCAATCCCCCCCCTTTGTCCGACTTGTCATAACGCTCTCCTTCCTTTCCAATGTGGACGTCATGTATGGAAAGCCCTAAGGGAATGGTTGATCTTTTAGGTCCGAATTATCTGAAACTCTGTGATTGGTAGATGTTTAGCACGGAAATTTCTCACTTCGTGAATGGCTGGTAAGCGCGAGCGTGTCTATAAAAGGCATCACACGTAAAATTTCGTTTACAGTATTGCTGTACTGAAACTTTAATTTGACTGAAACTTTAATTTGACGAGAATGTCAACAGTGCGCTGCTCGGGATGCCAGTACAATTATTTCGAGGCAACGGCATTCTCGGAAGAGAGAGTAAAAGAGGAATTGCTACACCACGGCATTTGGCGAAACTAAACGAACTGCGGACGGCGTGGCAACCTACTAAGAGCAGAAGGAGGACGAGAATTATTCCGTTGCGGAAAAGTAAACCGGAAGGGTAAGAAACGTGCGGCACCTTGCGGGTGGAGCAAGTCCATTTGGGCGGGTACTTTTTTCAGCCATTCGAATATTTCTCTCGTTACCCTCTGGAGATTTATTTTCTCCTTATTGGTATGGAAGCCTCCGAGACAAGCCACACTACATCGATTTCTCGGCCTTTCGAACAGAACCATCGTGGACTGGTACTCTTTTTACAGAGAAGTATGCGTCCACGATGTGTCCTCCCAAACCGAGAAACTCGGAGGGGAAGGCCGGGTTGTCGAGGTAGATGAGGCAAAAATCGGACGGCGGAAGTACAATAAGGGGAGAATAATCGAAGGTCAATGGATCTTCGGGGTATCGAGAGAGAGTCTCGAAAAAGGTTCTTGGTACCCGTGGAAACACGCGATAGCCAAACGCTACTTTCGGTCCTGAAGGAGTGGGTGCTTCCGGAGACAACGGTTATTAGTGATTGCTGGAAGGCGTATGATTGCCTTCAAACTGAAGGCTTTCATCACCTGACAGTTAATCACAAGTATAACTTTGTTGATCCCCAGACGGGCTCCCACACCAACACGATCGAGAGGATGTGGCGGGAGGTGCGCGCAAACGTTCCCCGGTACGGTGTTCGAAAGGAACACATGGAACAATCAAATTCGATGAGCATTTCTTGCTCATCGAATTTGATTGGATTTTAATCTTTTAAATAATCTACAATCATGGCAACTATCAAATAGAAACTTTTAGATATATTAGAGGTAAAAATATCATGTCAGTCTGTGTATGTGGAAAACGTCAAGCGTGGACAGACTATTATGGAGGTCCTGCCTGCAAAAATTGCATAGAGTTTTTTATAAGCAGTATTAGAGAAAGACAAGAATACGTTTGTAATAACATGGATGGTTTATGTAGTACGGACGTGAATCCGGATGGATTTGGATGTAAATATTGTCATTTAGAAATGTTGTATAAAAGGGCTGAATTAAAACCTAAAATGTATGGAAGGTACGAAAATCGATGGTATACGAAAGATGTGATTCCTCATTTACGTAGAACAGTGCTAAGAGCGAGAGATGTTACGTTGAATGATATTAATTATGAAGCGGACATAATGCGTGATTTCGGATCATATTATTCGAGAGGGTTGCAAGGAATGCAATTAACAAGAAATGAAGAAATTCAAGCAATATTCTTCAGAGGTACAGTGATGCATATCATGCTTGAATCCTTACATTGTCACGACGTCTTGAAGAGTGATTATAGGTACATTGATCCCTATAAAATGAAAAGTTTACTCATACAAAATCATCTAATTCAAGTACTAGAAATAACTCGTAGATTTTTACAAATTGTTGAAGTTGACTATCCAAGTCTGGAACAAATCGATAATTATGTTATCATGGGCAATTTTCCGTAAATGTATGCATAAAGATATTTGGCTGAATATCTTTTTAAAGCCAAATATCCGGACATGGGTTCTCGACTGCACCACTTTCAAGTTGCCGCTGCGAATCTTTACCCTCCGGGTTACTAGTTTCGGAAAAGTTGTATATTAGCTGCATACGCAAAAGGCCCTTTNAACACATGGTCGGATATTTGGCTGAATATCTTTTTAAAGCCAAATATCCGGACATGGGTTCTCGACTGCACCACTTTCAAGTTGCCGCTGCGAATCTTTACCCTCCGGGTTACTAGTTTCGGAAAAGTTGTATATTAGCTGCATACGCAAAAGGCCCTTTTAAGGTAAGTGTCTTTATAATATAAGCTGTTGTAATATTTTAATCTTAACTTGCAGTTTAAAAAAATTAAAAGTTATTTGTCTTTTTTCAGTAACATATCACACAAGGAACAGTTATTGATACACGATAAAGGCTTTATTGATGGAGGAAATGCATTTCGGGTCTTAATAGTGTTTTTAAAGAGAAGAAACACGTGATGTGAAACATGACTCCGTTACTGATCACTGACGCTTCCAAAGTATAGCAGAAAGAATTAATCCTTCTATTTTCTATTCGCTGTAGATATTGTGAAAAATTGTTTAATCATTGTTTTATTGTGAAAGCGCCAGATCATAAAATAAAAGGTCGGCATCTTGATCATTTTGAACTTTGTGTTACTTTTTTAATAATCTATATATAATGTGTTAAGAAGATTTTTTTATATCTTCAAATTAATTTGCTGTCACTTCTGAGTTGGTCTGTAAAAAGGATAAAAAGAAATAGACTCAAAAAATTATATATTTTTATGTATACTGATTTAGTTTCAAATATAATAAATGTTTTTTCGTTTCTTAATTTTAGTTACATTCCTTTCTCAAACATTTAAACGTTAACAATAATATTAAAAGTTTAATAACACTTTTCTATAAAATCTCTTTTTAAGAAAGTAATTTTCTAGAAAAGTTTTAAGGCTGCTACACCCACGTTTGAGTAAATTATAAGATTTTACTGCTTTTTAAGGACTTTGAACGTGTTAAGCGACAATCAGTTTTTCATTCCGAGTTTATTCGACTCCAAATAACAGGAAGAAACTTCCAAGTTTAACGATTTGTTTTTAAGCTCGCGTTTCTAAAAAATGAATAACCAAATCTTTTTAGATATCAAACTTTTACTAAGCGAACGTTTTCGTTACATTTAAGCATTAAGAATCCAGCCAAATATCTAGAAAGGTTATGTTATCCGTTCTTTAAATACATCCCGGTTGGCAATTTTCTGTCGACTACGTTACTTCCGATTTCATTCATTTTTGTAAACCATTTGGTGTTAAAAGCTACAGGTATTTCCGCGTTTAATTGAAAAGTCTGATAAGAAATAAAATTTGTGCGATTCATAAAAGAAATTTAAAACAAAGTCGCTCGCTGTCTGACTTAATAACGCCCTTTGCCTGAGACCGATCGAACTTCGTGACACGGTGCTACTCAAACTGTGGTCTGAGGACCAGAGATGATCCATCTTATCTATGTGAAATTAAATGAAAAAAAAACAAAAACTGGATGAAGGAACACTGCTCTAACTCGTGTTGCATCTATTGTTTTATAGTCTTTATGTAGTAGCCAATCGATCCCACATCTTACATATAAATTATTGTTACATAACTTTACATTTTTAAACTTAAAGGATTAGTTAGACTATATAAAACATATATGTTTATAAACTTAGATAATAAATTTATAAACATTTAATCTGAATTTTAAAGTAATTTGATTCTGTTCTCTTTTTAACAAGTCAATCTCGAAAAATAAGTCGTCGTTGTCAAATCTTAACTCGTCAATTTCGTTATAGAATGTTACGATGTTACGGAAGCGTAACTCGAGCAAAGTTCGGGTTGCCCCCCAAGAAGTAGTCACGTGTTAGCAATAAAGGCTGAACTCGTTTCTACATTCTGGCGGGAAGCGCGCTGTCGGACGCAACAACGAGTAGTTTCAACGTGGGCTCGGATAGTTCCGTTCTAGTGTCAATTATGTGGTTTTATGAATGAAAAATTACAAGTTGTGAAAGTGCAAGTCAATATATGGATATTATATATATATACCCGTGTAATTGGTAAGTGTCATCTCGAGTTTTTTTCGTAACTACTAAAATGCTATTGGAAGGCTTTTTTAATATTTTCTCTCTAAAAACGCATATTTTAAAATGCTATTGGACGGCTTTTTTAATATTTTGTCTCTAAAAACGCATATTTTAATTATAGATCCCCCATCATGCTACTGTCGATATTACGGACGTCGCCATCTTTTTTTTCTCTGTCCGTTGTTCGCAATGTCTACGAACGATCGCTATTAACGAACGCACTGTACTCTATCACGTGACTCAAGGTATAGTTGTCCGGAAATACGTCAGAGATGAGTAGTCACGTGACCGAATAACACCGACAAATGTCGCGTGATACGCTTCGTACGCCGATGTGCCGCTCCGCGACGAAAACAAGCTTAAGCAATGCGTCTTCGAATAAGATACACTCAATAAGTATTCCGACAATTTTTATTTATCGCATATTTTATAACGATCATTTCCAACAAATTATACGTGTTTTGGAAATGTTCGAATGAAATTACTCTAGAATCTATTAATTTTATAGAACAAAACCTCTCAAACAGCCGTACCCCCGAAACTGCACAAGTGCCGGTATGGCAGCCCTCACCACCCAATCGTCTGATCCGATTTTGGGGGCTATATATTATGAAGAGTCGCTCGTAGGGGTATGGTTCATTAGAAATTGTTTGATCGCATAGGGGTCTACAATTTGGGGGTTTCCGCCCCTCAGGCAACGCTAGAATCGTACCAGCATGGGAACCCGTAACTACTTATGGCGGGCTGGGGCTGACTCCGCAACCGGTAATCGAAATACCAACTTGGCTATTCAAGCCATTACAATGTAACTTGGGATATAACAAATTAAACAATAGTTTCGAGTCACGCGGAAATATTGGTCAAGAATAATACGCCTTTGTTAAAGTTGGGATCCTGTCGCGGAAGCCATTGTTATGTTCGTTGCGACAAGTACGAAGTCCGGCGAGCGGAATAGTACAAATACTCGTTAGATTTTTCGACACAAAGTAATTTATTATCGCTTCGAACAGGTTCGTTTTTCTTTTGGATCCCAACACTACAAATGATTTCTGTACACACAGGCGTTAAAATTTGATCTAACAAACAGCGGATTAATTGAGAGCTACAACTATACGCGGGGCGAAACTTATAACTAATTCTTATACTACTTACAACTAAAGGCACTTGTACAGATTAACGGGTACGGCTATTTGAGAGGTTTACTTCCATAAAATTAACTAAATCTAGACTAATTTCATTCGAATATTTCCAAAACACGTATAATTTGTTGAAATGATCGATATAAAATATGCTATGAACAAAAAATTGTCGGAATACTTATCGAGTGTACCCGTTCGAAGACGCCATTGCTTAAGCTTGTTTTCGTCGCGGAACGGCACATTCTTCGTACGCGTCCGCTTCCAATGTGTCGGTGCTATTCGGTCACGTGACTACTCATCTCTGACGTGTTCCTGATAACTTATTCTTTTTGCGAAGAATTCACTGAACTTTAGAGACATCACGTGATAGATTACAATAAAAAATCTATAGTATATTATGATTAAAAACGACTTATTATTATTATTGACTATATGAAGCAGCAAAGGAAAAACCACTCGCTAACGACAACAATTCTATCATGATATATATTATAATGATGATAAATATTAATCAGATGCAACATAAGATGTCTAATGTCGATGTAAATAAATATTATACAATTTTGTTTACGACATGAGAGATTAGACCATTGAAAAGTAGAACAGAATTATTAGTTATTTATCGCATTATCATACGTTATTATATGTTGATTTTAATCCATATTTAGAATGGAATGAAGTTTTAATATTTCTGTTAATGATGTCTCTAAAGTTCAGTGAATTCTTCGCAAAAAGAATAAGTTATCAGGAACACGTCAGAGATGAGTAGTCACGTGACCGAATAGCACCGACACATTGGAAGCGGACGCGTACGAAGAATGTGCCGTTCCGCGACGAAAACAAGCTTAAGCAATGGCGTCTTCGAACGGGTACACTCGATAAGTATTCCGACAATTTTTTGTTCATAGCATATTTTATATCGATCATTTCAACAAATTATACGTGTTTTGGAAATATTCGAGTGAAATTAGTCTAGATTTAGTTAATTTTATGGAAGTAAACCTCTCAAATAGCCGTACCCGTTAATCTGTACAAGTGCCCAACTAAAGAAGGAAGAAGAGAGTAGACAAATAAGAATAGTATAAGAGGAAGATGGAAATACCCGGGATTTTCTTGAGTTCGTAGTCTTGGGTGGGACACCACTTGGAACTTTCCGTGGAACGTTATTTCTCGTCCTTCCTGTAGACCTTTCGTATGATTCTTTCAATAGCTTCCTTCAAAGTTCTCTTATAGGAATTCCTTCCTATCGGTCCGTTGGCTCCTGGTAGCCTCCAATCGTCTTACACTCGATCTGGAGCGGTACCTCTTTTCCATATTTATTCTTCGGAATTCGAGCCCAAACTCTTCTTTCAAAATACCCCTCGTAGTCTCCGATCGTCCTACACGCGATCCGGAGCACTACCTTCTCTCGTCAAGAGCTCGACCAAGACTGTTCTCTCCCCTTTGTTCACCGGCCCCAGGGCCTTACTTCACCTTTTGTTCTACTGCTCGTTTCTTGGAATCGGTAATCCCTCCCAAGGGAAAAGAACTTTCCCTTCCAAGGGTTGGAAGGGAAAGTTCTAGAAAAAATGAGAACAAAGGAACAAAGAAAAGGTTAAGACTAACTAAAATTAATAAATACAAATATATAATATTATGGCCGACGGCCACAAAAGATTCGATATTTATCAAAATATTAAAATGGCGCATTTTTGGATTAATTTCTAATTAGAGACATTATTATTAACAGTAGTGAAAAGAGCAAAAATTTATGCTAAAACAAATCAACAAAATATGATTTGAAAAACATGGAATTCGGTAGTGAAAAAATCGCATGAAAAATAAAATTACATTAAAATGAAATTCGCGAGCCACTTGATAAACATGTTTTTAACATCAGCAGAAAAATCCTTAAAAAATCCAGCAACGAGTTGCATAACTTTTTCGATAACGTTTGATGGCACCATCTATTATAATATTTTATTAAAATCTTTTTATGATTTTAACTATTACAAAATGACAATAAACTTAATTTCGAGGGTAGGGACGGGTTTTATAATAAAAAAAAATGTAAATTCTACTAACGAGTATAGTCGTAATTTAGTCCGACCCTATTCCAGATATGACACACGATTTCCTTTTCACCCTGTCGACATTTAACCACCAAAATTGAATACCATCGATCTCCCTAATACACAAACCTCCCTGCAAAATTTCAGAAAATTTCGACAAAAAATGCAAGAGTTATTAAGCTTCAAAGAGGGTGAACAAAATCGTTCCACTCACTCACACACACAAACTAACATCCATACATACAGGAAAAAAAACCCCAAGTTTTTTCCATTACTCGACTTTTTGAGTCCAAAAATGTAAAAATCTTGGGTTATTAAGGTAATTTAATTATGTTCTCTTTTTTAAGAAGTTAATCTCGAAAAATAAATTGTCATTGTCAAATCTTAACTCATGAATTTCGTTATAGAATGTTACGGTGTTACGGAAACGTAACTCGAGCAAAGTTCGTCAAACTGTGGTCTGTGGTCTATTCACGCGGGTTGCCACAAGAAATAATCAATGGTTGTGTGTCAACTTTTGATTTTTCTTTTCAAGCTAAGAAAAACCCCTGTTAACTAAGCCTGAAATGAAAAATCTACTAAAGTGAGGAAAGAAACATCAAAATTGGGTGCAATAATAGTAGAACTGCATTATTTTCAACTGTAAAGCCAGATTTAAAGAAGCAGCAAAAAAGAACTGATCAGAAGAAAGTACGAATTCTTTTATCCTGAGTGTTTTAATCGTACAACCAACTTCCCAGCAAAATGTTATGGTTTGGAGTTGCACTAGTGCTCAATGTTTGATATTTTGCATTTTATTGATTGAATAATGAATGCAGAAAAATACTAGAATCTCCAAGTAAGACTTCTTCCATACCTTGAAAAACTACAGAACTCAAATATAATTTTCTAGCAGAATGATAATGTTGTCAAACTGCCAGAATGAGGTCATGGCTTGCAAATCACATTAATGTGTCAAGTTGGCCATGTAACAGTCTAGACTTCTCTACCATTGGAAATCATTGGGAAAACATGAGAAAGTTCTGCAGAAAAACATCTCAACAGATAATGGCTGATTTATATCAGAAAATCCCAGAAGTGTGGTATAGAACTACTCAAGAAGCACTTATAATGTGTGAACATGTAATACAGATAAGAGGTGAGAAAACAAGACACTAATTACCAGTGTTCAAGATATTTTCTGTCAATGGTAGAGGTGTCTGAAGTTATTTTTGTCACTTAAGCTTTCTTTAAGTATTTATTTTTTTTAAATTTATGAAAATATTTTCATTTTTTTATTGTGTTATTTATGTTAATCAATGTCATAGTTTAACACACAGCAATTTTTATAAACAAATCATTGCCGTTTTTGTCTTTCATTAAGTTCAAAATATAATACAGTTTAAAATCAAGAGATGTTTGAAATATTTTTTGTTTTACTTATACATTTCTATATATAATTCTCAACAATTTATATCAATCTTTGTTTACTTTGTACTCGAGAAACACCTCCATTAAAAATAATAGATATTTAAATGAGCAATTATTTATTGTGACAAGGTTTTGCATTGCCGGCTGCAATTTTTTGTCACAATATACTTAATTCTACTAGTGTCTTGTCCCTGTACATCATACTTTTCCTGTTCACAATGAAGTCATGTCAGTCATGAATCTTACTTTGTTCAGGAGAAAATTGAAATAGTGACTTCCGGACCAAAGAGGAAGTTTGTATATAGTTAATTGGGGTCTCCTGCCCCTAAGATTTCCATATCTGGCCTTGACTTACGTCTATCTAACACCATTCTTGAGAATAAGGAAAGGCGGACAGACGAATGACAGTGGGAATTTTATAGATCTACAATTTTTTCAAATTGCAGCCCAATGATACATGTTCACAAAGAATATATTGCTCAAATAATAAAAAATTAACCTAAATATTATCAAATATTAATGATAAACTTACAGTAATTCTTTTATTTCAAAATATATGAAGTCTGTTTCGGGAAAGAGAATTTGAAATCAAAATTTTGCTTCAACTGTTTTCCATTCATTTGTTCATGATGACAGAATGTGACAAATTATTATTCTTGTACAGTATCGCATTTCAAAAACTCATTAAGTCAGAAATTTTTACTTTTTAGGATATTTCATTTTTTAATATTTGATATTTTGGTTAAAGAAAAAAATCATCTATAAACACAAAAAAATTTATCCTCTTATATCATCCAGAGTAGTTCACATAATACAATGTTAGCATATTACAGATAATATAAGTTTGCAATTTGGTTATATTTATAGCATAAGTTTGCAATCTAGATTTTTCTTTGATACCTCCTCTATCTAGCTCTGAGTTTGAGAAATGAATGAAACACATTCAGTTCTCATCAAATTAATACTCAGAATAATCCCATAGACAAAAATAGTTGAAGCATATTACTATTATTTCCTTTCCAGATTACAGAATAAATTGACCCATTTCCTGAATATTCTCAAATGCTTAGTGTTTGGATTTTAATAGAATGCTATTAAATATAAAAATTCACACACATAAGTAAAAGGCATAAGAAATTTTAATTCTAAAAAAATTAAGTACAGTTTTTTGTTTTAATGAATATATAAAATAGAGAGATTATCTTGACATAAAAAGGCAGCATAGGATTGAAGGTTTTTCTGATTTTTCTATATTAAAGCACCTTGATTTCTCATATTCTGTAACAAGACAGAATTTCATAATTTAAAATGTATTTTTTTTATAAGTATAATAATACATTCCTCTTAATAAACTTATCTATATTTATATAAATTATTAATTTATTTTTAAATGGGATATTAAAGGGAATTTATCTCATGCAGGAAATACTGTACATCATTCTATAACATACTCAGCAATCTCCTTTTTTAAATCATCATATGATTTCATTTCCTAAAAACAAAATAAATATTATTATTTAGAAACCATTTAAAATAGTATGAAGAATTTTATATTTATTTATTTTTTTAATTAATATAAAATATTTAAAAGTGAGTTATAGAGTATATAGAGTTTTAATGATTATTATAAATTATTAATAGAAATAATTAAATTTTATTAAATTAGTAGTATTAAGACTGAAGATTCTTTTATAGTATCATTAATTACAAATACTTCAAATAAAATTGATTGCATTGGTAACAAACTGTATTACCAATAACTATAAAATTTCAAACAAATCATAAATTCAAATAAATTATTTGAATTGTTTTTGATTTGATCTTAAATACATAAAATGGATTCCAGTTTATTATCTGTCATCTCATAAAATATAAGCAATACAAAATTTAACTTAGTGATGACTTCTATAAATGAATTCTTCTTTGTTGTTTTTAAGTCTTATTACTGTTTTCTGAATTACCGAATTAAATATTTTAAGTCAGTCTTAGCTTAAAATGAGTAAGATATTACAGATGATGCTACAGTAATTGTTTTCACAATATCTCAACTGAAATACTGTAATGCATCATGATTTTCAAGTAGTAATTGAAATTTACTTCTCTCCAAAACATTTTAAATTTTCCTTCATCTTTTAATAAATAATTACAATGTACTGTACAAGTAATGTAAGAAAATTATTTTAATTTACCATTTTAGATATAATAAACAGATATTTTTGAATATTTATTATATTTAATATTTTAAAATAAATTAATAATTTCTTCATCCTTTATCTTACTGGATTTGATTAACTACATTGCAATATTGGTTCATCAGAACAATATTATTAAAATAGAACCCAGTACTGGGACAACTAACTCAAGCTCTCATGCATCTTATGTGAAGATAAATATTAATAAGGAAAAATTGCAATGTAATGTAAATGAGAAGTATTTTAAAATATAAAAAAATTCATGAATCTTTAATGATTTTGAGACATTTAGAAAAAGAAAACTCCATCATATAGGATTTTGATCACAACTATTTCAAACTAGATAAATATTGTTAGTTACATCTAGGGTGCAATTTTAAGAAGGAAGAAGGAAAATTTCCCATTTTACTTTACATATCCTTGGTTCTGCAGAAATGGAAGTATCCCAACCAGGGATAACTTCTTTCCCCTCACTTATCAAACTTGTGGGCTAAAAAACTTTTACAATTTTGCAAGACTACAAGTTTGATTTCCACAAACTAAGAAGTTGATTTATAACTGTAATTGAATAATCATCATTTGTGACATCTAAACTGTACAAATTTTTTCCAACAGACACTGTATGCAGTATAGGCAAGCGCCAAATCCGACAGATGGCGCTGTTTTTGAGCCAAGATGGCTGCCGAAACAGGATAAGGGAACGACCACGTGCTTGTTCAGTGCCTGAGCCGATTTAGTTTCCGTCGGTGACGACTACTGCGAGGACCAAATTGAGAACAAATCATTGAATTTATGTCAAATTCTAGACTAACGGCGACAGGAAACGTTGTCTTGTAGAAGGTGAAGCCGTTTTGGATGCTGGACACATCGTATTTTGTGGATTAAACTCTAACAACAACACCAAAGTTCATGTTGCTTTAGTGTTGCAATCTCAAATACAGTATTGGCATTTTAATACATCTTAATTACAGGGAGAATGCACGTGCAATGCGGGGCTGTCTGGTTTTTGTAAACATGTGATAGCATGATTATTACACGTTAACAGGTGAGAAGTATTTAAATATTTTAAACTGTATACACC